AAATGCAAAATTAGTTTTCTGGGCGGTGCGTTGCTTTTAATAACTATAAAACGTGCGTACTTAAGGTAATGCTCTGCAATTCATCAACAAAATTATAGGTAGGACGGAAGTATGCCATTCACGCGGAACGCGACACTTGAAGAAGGGTAAAAAGAAAGGGCGTCGAAAGGGTGGATTCAGCTGACAATAATTCAGAGGGTTGAAACACTTGGAACGTTAAGTACGGCGCAGTAATGCTCGAGCATCAAAAATACGCAAGGGTAAAGCTTCAACGACACAAGTAAGCATTTTCGAGCGGAGACAAACAGTGTTTAATAATTAAAAAATATTTTACAACGTAATTGGTTTGTTTAGTGGTCGACCTAGTTGCAATCCTATGCATATTTTGATTTGTGTGCGGCAAGCACCAGTTTATTCAATTTTTGCTAAATTTTAGATGTGTTCGAAGACGATTCCCGCGCGCAGATGGAAGGAATCTCTTCGATTTTCGTTATGCAAACAAACACATGTTTACCCAACTCGTCGAATAAGTTCCCGGCCGGCGAAGAAAGATGTATAAAAGCGGGAAATCTATATTCGGGCACGCTGCTGCCGCCGCCGCCGCCGCCCTTGCCTCGCGCACAATGTTTGTTATTTGAGTCGAAGATGCGCGTTCGAATTCCCTCGACGCCAACGCGGGCACGTTTCTCGTTATATTACTTGCGGCGCTGTGTGCGTTACATCAGGACGAATTCATGAGATGACTCCTTGTCGATGTGATGGCGGGCAGCGTTAGGGTAACCACAGACCTAAAGAAATGCACGAGGTAAAGAAAACTTCAATAATGTCGGCGGCTAGTTGCGCCTGGAAACTGCTGCGTGCCTGAGCCCAAGTTTTTTTTTGATTCACGACGTGAGACATGCTTTAATTACAAACATTTCATAATATAAGAAGTACAACTGAACGAACATAATAAAGTCCCAAATACAAAGAGTTAGTTGACGGCAGAACGAAAGTTTTTATAAGACTTCCTAAATTAATTGAGACTTGATTTTTTGTAATTAGTAAATGTTATTATTTTTTGTAATCTGAATGAGAGTTTTTTTTTTGCATTTCAATACGAAATGTAAAATACGACTCTTAAAAATGTAGCAACTTTAGAATCGCTATTTTCAAGTACAACGAGAAGAATCTAATACTTTTGTTTGTCCACACGTATCCTTGCGTGTTATGTTTGTGTCCTTTCTGGATATATTGCCCCGCAAAAAGTAACTTTTACCCCTGGAATTCTCCAAACCTCGAAATTGCAAACGTGTTGTGCCGATCTTATGATGGATGATTTGAGCGAAGGAATTACTAAACTTTACAGCGACCACTACCACAGCCGCGAGGCGCGAAAAATAGTTTCATCGGGGGAAATCTCGGGCGCGCGATTCCCGCGAGACGCAAGATCGGTCACGTATAGAGCGAGGCGGTCGCCCTATGAACTTTGCGCCAAACTTTCCTGTTCGTTTCGCAATCGATGTGTGTTTTTGCCGCTTGGCGAAAGTGCCAAACGCTTTCTTATAAATAAATAACGCCGATCCCAAGATCTCGACGCTAAGCTTCCGAGAAGCCGGGGGTCTTAGGCTGCCCGCCAACTTCAATATTCAATTTGGCATTCGCTTAATTGATTTTAATTATTCCCGGAACGAATTCGGCGGTTTTCCTCGCGCTGTAGCAGGCAGGCGCTGTTGACACGGCGCATGGGCTTAAATTCGGGGCGCGCTAAGACCCCACGGCGGATGACATCACGTTTGGTGCGATCGCCGTGGGACGTGTCGGCCGCGAAGCCCGTGATGCGGTCAGGGGGCACGTTCCACTTTAATTCCACCCAGAAGCAGCCTCGGACCACCCTCCTCTATTTATCTCACTTATACCACTTTATGCAATCTAGCCACACTTTTATTCAAACAATACAAAAATTCAATTCAAAGACATTTTACTCTTCCATGAAATTACAAAAAACAACCGTTTTTCATATTTTGTTGTTTGTGGTAAAATAAACTAGTTTAGATTGCGTTATTTGCACTTTTATTGAAAGAACGCATTTGCAGAGTGCGCACGCGTTGCCAGCCAGGACACGCGAGGACGAAAACCTGTTCAATTCGAAATTAAACCAATTACGAACGAATGCTCGAGGCGCGCCGCCCGAAAACGCCAAAACGTGCAAAGCGACCCTCGCCCTACAAACTCTTTACACCCGACGCCCAAAAACGAGTATAACGAATGTTATTATTTCGTTTATACGACATGCATAAACAAACGAAATAATCACAATAAAAACAAATTCCAATATTTCGAAAAATATTTTTCCGTGTTTTATATGATTTGGTCATGTATCTATTAATAAATAATAAAGCTAAATAAAACACACAATTTTTAACAGGAATACGAATATGTCATATTTAGCATGTTTTAAATTAATAATAAATATTTAAATTTTAATATCTAGCTTCAATAATATATTGGTAGTAGTCAGCTTAAAAATGCTTAACAAACTCCTCGTCTTGCAACTTGTGTTTACATTGCTATGAATTTCTGTTTTTATTTCTGTTCTTGCTTTAGCTCATGTTTCTAAATTACAAGATGACGCTTCTTGGCGGGGCTGTTTAACAAATTACAACATTAATTATCCTTGCACAGCATCTATCAATGTACCCGAGAATCTCACGTTTGCGTCGTTTCCCCACCGCTTTTCCACCGCAAGTGAACTGTTTTCGGTTGCTGTGCTCATCGCTCATTGCAATCCCTGGAAAATTTAAGGATTATTCACCCCTACAAATTTTGTACTATTTAAAACAGTTAAAATATTAGGAATTAATTAATTTCGGCTTGGTTACATTTATTATTTTATTGGATTGATTCAAAGGAATTACAAAAAGGTCGATGACCAATCTTGCAACACGTTCTATGTTTCACCCTCTCAAAAGAGAGTATTCCAAGGCAAGTAGTGTAAAGCTTGAAAACCCAAAAGTCCAACATCAAAAAATAGTAAAACAGAGAAATATATAAGTTAAAAGAAAACAGAGATATGTTTGAGTGAAGGGTGGGTCGTAAGACACAATAAATGTGAAAGGAGGGTGCACGAGGTCATAACCGAGATGTTGCACTCGAGAATCAACCATGAACCAGAATAAGAATGTACAACTCGTACCAAATCTAGAAACCAGCCAAAATAAACCGCGATGGAAACAGTTAAATCAACCCAATTGGACTACAAAACTTCCGACGTAATCGCTTCTTGAACTCTTAATCTCAAACTTTGCTTCGACAGAACAAAATACCGACAGTGACGTAAATTTAATGTTTCATGTTTTTGTTCCATGTTCAATGTTTACTTAATAAGTATTTGTTGTGTTGGTGCATGTATTGTAAAGTAACGGATCGTTTTTGAGTACATTTTTAAAATGATAGAAAGCATTGTGAATTTGTCGATCGGGCGATTTGTCGTTTCGCAGTACTCGAGTGCATTACTGGCGTTTTAGCGTTAACGCAAACTCGGGGCGCAAGCGAACAGGTCAGTAATGTAATTTGTCCTCGTGCGCGCTTTAGCGAGGGAAAAGCACTTAATAACTCGACCGACGACCGACCGACCGTAGGGTCGTCGAGACAACCCTAGATACACACACGTCTACACACGTGTACATCTCCCCCTGGTGCAACCCTGCGACTATTTTTTACAACGCATATGAAATAATATTACTATATTACCACTACTACCACAGACCCACTAACTAACTTAGACGGACTGGTAGATTATATTCGTGTTTTTGGATCGATGATTGAGTCTCTGTTTGTCCACGTCCCGAGCGTTGCATAAGGCTGAGTGATCGCAGCGAGAAAGTGCGTGTGTTTGGTGCCATCCATCTCCAACTGGAGGGAGGAGAAGAAGAAAGAGGTGCTTGTGCGCTCATCGCCCGGCGCATCCACGCACGCACGCTAGGGTTCCGAGTTGAGGAGCGCGCGACGCGGCGGCAGAACGTCGCCGACCAGCCAGCCGTGCGTACGCCACGCCACCGAACCGCCGCCTCCCTCGTTCGTTCATTCGCCGTCGCTGAGCTACTGCGCATTACGACCAAACATCCCCGAAAAGACTGTCAACGCTAACATTTGTCACGTCGTTTGCAACACGTCCAAAATAACCACTAACTATTAAAATCAAAATAACAAGTTTAAAAAAAATCTACATAAGAAGAAAAGTTAAACAATTATTGTGTAACAAAGTGTATAATAATCCCTATTAATTTGTTAAAATTATTGTTAAAATACCTACTTGTTGAAGACACTTTTTGGAACAGGTTCAAACAACCGAATATCCATATGGTGCAAGTACTAGAAGCGGTCAGGTCGATTCCTTTCGACTTGCCCATTGTTGTAAGTGGTGTAATACTTTAAATACAACATATTAACAACACTGCTAATTGAGTTAGTAATATTTCCGTGAAATAAATCACTTGTTTGATTTTGCTCGTAGAGCTAACGCTAGTGCCGCCTCTGGCGCCGCCTGCATTTGTTGCGCCACGCAAATTTGCTGTTTTATACGTGCATATTGAATTATGCCCATAATCCAATCATAATACAAAATTTTCCTAATGGATAGTGAAGTTTGCACGTTTATCAAATTTCACTCGAGTACAGTGAGTCTAAAAACAACATCAAAATCTAATTTTTGTCCATTTATGCACAAAACTCGATTCTCTAATAAGGGTAAAATTTGATATTGTAATATTGGATGATATTCACATGTCAACCTAATTGACTGTCAACTTAATTATATCCGCTGGCCGTATGCGATTGCGAAACTTACTCGGGCCTGTGATTTGTTTTATGAACTTTTATCAACTTTAACGGCGGCATAAAGTTGAACGCGCGCTGCACTCGCAAATAAATTTATGCGCGCCGTATAAAATATCATCCTGTGCTTTATTGTTCTGTCCGGCGTCTCGCACGTTTATGCTAATGATGGCTTGTTGTTGCAGATGAACCGCCCCATCCAAGTGAAACCAGCGGACAGTGAAAACCGCGGAGGTGAGTTTTATTACTTTTACGTGGAGGCACACGACCTGTGTTTTACGAGAGAATTTTTGGTCCTCGGGTTGAATTATTTATTATTTATGTGTTGGAAGGTACCAGTCGGATTTTACGGCCGCTGAAAACCAGTTACATATTAATGCAACTTACATCGAGACATGATTTTTATTAGAACTCTGATCCAGCCGAAGCCCGGCTAATATTTTATAACATCTGATATCATTGTGGGACATTTAATAACGCACCTGATAACATTTTACAACGTTCGATACTTATGTTTGAGGGCAATTTTGCTTGCGCAGGGTGGAAAGTGAAAAGCGGATGTGATAATAATCGCTAAACGCCTATGCTGATAAAATCTTGAATTTATTTGTTGGCTACGCGTCACGCAGCGTAATTAATTGAACTTTGCCATGAAATTTCTAAAACACGCAGGTACTTTTTGTTTTATTTTGGACTTGAATCAAAGTTTATCACTTGCAATTTAATTCAGTCTTGGCGGTTGGATGAGACAAGTGTTTCTGATTGATGTAAATACCTGCATTCAGTCGATTGTCACTTGCATTCCTTTCATCACGGCGGAGAGCACTCAATTCAACAACATTCAACACGTTTAGCGAAGCCCGGCGCCTCCACCTGGTGCTGCTGCGTGATGAATGCGAGGCGCCGACGGGAAGCGCGACTGCAAAGTGAATAATATTCGTCTCGAGATTAGAACGGTAAATTGAGAGAGTGTGTCGCTTGCGTCTCAATGAAAGCAGGCAAACTCCGAGTTAACTTTTGGGCGATGAAAACGTTCGAAATTTGTGCAGAGTGGCTGAATACTGGAATATTCGCATATTCATCAGTTGAAAACTTTAAAGGCATCTTCAAATAACAATTATTTGCAAAATTTCAACATTTTCCGAAATAAATACATCGAGTTAATAGAGATTTAACACTAATTATATATTTTTGTCATTTTTTAAATCAAACTTGATTTTGTTCTTACCGCTCGCGATAAGAAGATGAACGGTTTTGTTTCGAATCGCGTTATCTTGGAATAATAATGAGGGAAAACGCCAGTGCTCATCGTCGTGCGGGTTGCACATAATCATAACGGCTCGTTCGTGTGTTTTTCTGTGTGTGAGTGTGAGCGAATGGCGGCTTTGGCCGGGCTGTGTCTTTTATCGCCGTCTGACGATCAGATTTGTTTGGGAACATCGGGAACATTTGTCCATTTGGACCGGACTCGGAATTGAATCCGCGGCCCGGCTTCATTTCTTAGCCCCCCGGCTGAGCGATGTCTCTTTCTTTGTCTCTACGCGCGCGCGGCATCTTTGCATTTATGAAGTCGGCTCCGTTCGACATAAAAACGTTCCGCACCTTATCTCCCTCTTTACAGGCTGTATAACTCCGAATGGCTGCGCGACAGTAATAACCTCCTAAGTCGTTCCTAAATGGGACGTCGATTGCATTGTTCGTTTTCTTCCACTTTTCCGACTCCTTCGACTTCACTTAAGCTCAGCCGGCAACAAAAAAACTGCCAAAAATGTGCAAAATCGACAGTTTCCAACGTACACCTGCTAACAAAGACGTTTTTCTATCTGCCAAAAGCAGCAAAACACAAAACAGACGAAATGTTATAGCAAACAAAAGTCCACACACGTCTTTCACACCACCCTAAATAAAAAGTTGCTACCAGACACATCATCGCATTTATTGTTATCAATCGGCAGGTTAGAGAGCGCCCTTCTGCGGCACACACACCCGCCCACCGGGAAAGCGCTCGCGAGCCGCGCCGACCCTCGGTGTGTCTCTGTTGCGAATCGCAGAGCTCGCGATGGCGGCCGGCAGCTCCGGCGGCGTCACCTGGATGTAGGGCCCTGCTCGCAGGTAAAACGCCACACAGCGCTACACCCTCAACTACCACATCCAATCGCCCTTTATTTACTCCTACATCCTTACAACCTGCTCCACTTGAACCACTCGATGTGTTTGGCGCATTTATCATGTGACATGTAACATGTGACCAGTGTCGTGCGTATTAGAGCAAAACTGTTGTAGTTGCGATTGTTTCTTGTTGCCAAAAAACGTACACTTACTCGTATTTAAACGTGTTACACAGAGTGAGCCCGGGTGCGAGGAATGCGGCCCGTACACAAGCAACAGCTCGTTCGTTTCGATGTTATGTCTAGCCGTTGTATACCTTTATAAGTGTCTAGTGCGTTTTCATTGTTATATTTATTATGTCGTTAATCGGAGTGATGATGTAAAGCAAAGTTATAATAATTTTAGAAAATGCAACACAAATATTTACTCTTTGAATAGTTTCCATAAACTACAATTTAACAAACTTAACATTAAAAATATATGTGTTGCATTCTATAGGGTAAGTATCGCTACCAAAAATAGAAAAACTATTGTTGCGCGCAGCGTCAATAAAAAATGTGCAAGCAGCAATACCATATCAGCTAGAAAGCACTGTCTTGCTCCCTTTTTAAATGAATGTGACACACGTTGAGTTCGATATTTCAGTGTATCTCTGTCATATCATTTTGAAATGTTATTTTTCGCGAATTATTTTAATGATTATCCCTATAATCCAACTTTTTTGAGTTCCGCCGACTGTTTTCGATGGCAGGAAGTGGGTGGTCGAGGGAGGTGAGATGAACGATGTGCGCCGAGCGGAATAAAACGGAAGAGGACGTCGCGAATCAGTTTTGCGCCACTTCTCATACCACTCCACCTCGACGCATCTCCGCCTGCCGTCCGAGAAACAACCCCTTGATTTAGAAAGCGAGTTTGATCCAATTACTCCCGCTCATCCTTCCACGAAAATCCTTGCGAGTCTGCTTCCAGGCATCCAGTCATCCGGAGCGTCAAAGTCTCGCTTATAACATCGATCCGACGTTATCCTGCTTCAATATTTCAACCCCATCTACGCACACAGTTCCTTTGAGTGTCAATATCAGTCAATACTCGTCTTTCCGTTTATTAGAATCTTTAAATACCTTGTGTTCTCATCCTAATCTAATCCTCATTTTTGTTTTTTTTCAGGTTATTGTTTACTTGTTTACGTTAGTTTTTGATACATGTTTACTATCTATGTTCGTTACAAAGAAACGTTTAGATGAGCGTACGCTCCCAGTCCCGCCTTCTTGTTTCCTCTTGTCTTCAGTTACCACGCACGTACTAATGATAGCTATCTCGTTTTGTTTTCCTTCCGCAGATCGAAAGCTGTTCGTGGGAATGCTAAGCAAACAACAGACAGAAGAGGATGTCAGACAACTGTTCGCACCTTTCGGCACAATAGAGGAGTGTACTATTCTTCGAGGACCCGACGGTGCCAGCAAAGGTAAATCAACATTTTACTTCTTACATTAACAAACACTCAAATTACCATCCAAAAGATATTAATCTAATGGTGTATAGATATTATTTTCTAAAAGAAAAACGTTTTTGGTTTGCTATCAAATAGCTCTATAAACTTTCACGTTGATCGAAAGATTTTACTGGCACAAAAAAAGAAAAGAAAAGCGTAAGTTCAACATGTATTTACATGTCTCTGATGTCTCTGAGTGTTCGCTTGCAAGTCTCGTGTCACTTGTTTACATTTGTCACGAGTGATGTGTTATTGTGCCCCCTGAACGTTGTCTCCCGACGCTCGGTCTCCTGCAATAGGTATTAGAATGTATTACACCTTTGGTGGATCTTGAAACTCGATGCTCGCGGGACTTTAAACCGTCTGAATTTAAAAGTTCCCGACGCCGTCGTGCTCGACTCGCACGCTCCCGAAGGTATATCCCGAGATGAACTCACGTGTGCACGAAGGACGACGAGCAGAACGGAAACTTAAAGTGACGGACTCTAAATGCGTCAACCCTCTACTTATTTATTTACAAATCGAGTCGCCGAAACACGCGGCGCAATTTTCCTTTTAGCGTTTTTCACCGACGGTCTTTACTCTGCGCATAAATGAGGGAAACCGCCTCTGCACGTGCGTTGCTAAGCTTTTAAAAGTTTCGCGAAGCGTGAAGGCAAATCCTGTTGCTTTCGGCTCGCAAAACAAACAAAGTGCAAAAAATATACAAGTATATAACAACGACGCCAGAGTAAAATAACAAGCTCGGAAATTTTGATATCAATTTTTTTGTGCATGCGCAGCAACGCATCTTAAAAGCGTCTCGAATCTAAAACGCAGGTAGAACGTGGATTTGCTGCATGCAAAAATTACGAATGGCAATTAAAACCGCATTACGCGCGCTTCCTCGGCGTTAAATAATAAAAATAATAGTCGCAATAAATCGGTTCCAAGCTTGGGGCGCGCTGCCGAGTAGGTTAGTGAAACAGAGTACACTACGGGCGATTAAAGTTAATTTTAAGTTACGAGGAAAATTTCTAATTAAACTTTTATTAAACTCTTAGTTGCACTTTATGATAGCAGGCAGAAACGAGCGTCAGAGGAGGGGTCGAAACTAAGATTCAAAAAGCAAAGAACCAAAGAAGGGTGAAGTAACCGGTTCCAATCTTAATAAATTCCTAAGATGAGCCGAAAGTAATTTTTAAAGCATAAAATATAAGAGATAAAATTTTATATACTTTAAATATTGATCGAAGCACATAAATTCATTTTACTTTTTTGCTTCTTTTCGTAGAATCCGATATTACTTCTAAATAATTCAAGGATAAATGTTCACATGTCCCAACATATTTTGCTGGAGTTTTTAATGTTTTTCAATTTCCACAATTTTCTCCTGATACTAATAGAGCGTAAACGGAGTTTCGGGACGCAACTGCTGTAGTACAGGATCAAAACAAATCCCAATGCAAAATTAATTCGACAAAAATGAACATGCTCGCCAACGTCCATCAGCATTATACTAATCTTTCGCGAATTATATTTCCGAACGAAGCGAACGTGCATAAAACAGACGAATACGTTTGTGAAATGAAGGCAACGTGAGACGCGGAGCTTATTTCATGTTTTTGCTTGTTTTTTTTTTCAGTTTTCAGTCTTGTTTTTTTGCTTCGCATCGTTGAGTTTCGTGTGTGCGTGCGATCGCATTTATTCGAGCGTAAAGCTCGCTCTGCGGCACCGCGTGTGGGGTTGAGGGAGGCGGAAATGGCGAATAAACGAATGGCTTATGACGAGCGCGCGATGCACCTCCGAACGATTCGTTATCGAATGTGTAATTACAATTTCATACGCGATGTTCCACTCAGCCACACTCGGCCGCGCCGTATTTATTTACATGGTCAATATTGTTTTTGTAATTTTAATATTTATTCGTTTCGCCGTGCGATTTTAATTATTTCCATTCGGAGCGCAAGCTAAACAAATGGAAAATTTACCAAATGAAATGTTAATTTTTTAATTTGAGAGTATGATTCGCGGAACACACTCAAATCAAAAATATAATCATTTCACAATCAATTGATTCTGCTGCAGTTGGAAAACAATATCAATTAGTACTAATGGTATATTAATATTTGTGTTGTCGGTCAAATAAAATCATGATTTTTACTTTTTTTTTAATATCACGTCGACTTCATTTGCATCCGTGAATATTGAGCTCACAAGCCGAGTTCAATTCATGCATCAAATTGTACTCCCGTCGTGTATTCACCCCGCTTGCCTAAACGGGTGAACTGGATGAAACCGGATGGGGCACAAGGGCGTTTTGACGCTTTGTATAGCCCTGAGCCACTCAAAATAGTCTTCTCCTTGTCTATGACGGCGGCATCTTGCTCACACCTACTATCTATCTGATTACTTGCTCTGTGCTAGACTTTAGACTTTGAAATTTCGAATTGAGGAGCGTGCAAAGGGCGCGCGAATATGGAACATAAACGTGGAACACGCCAGTTTGAGGATGTAGCATACCGAATGCCGAATATCTACCCCTCTGGTGCTGGTATCGACGCTCTCTCACTTTGTTCGCAAATCCTAATTACCGCCGAAGAGCTTTTCAAAATGTTCAAAGTATGAATTTCTAATTGCTTAATTTTAAGGCTCAACCAGAACATTTATTTTTGTAATTAACAAATGTCTCCTGATGACAACATTAGAAGCATTTGATGATTTATTATTAGAAGTTCAATTTATATTAAACTTATGCAGATATTTAAAATTTTCTTTAAAAATTAATTATTTTGCAACTTTTTCGCTGATTTTCTTTAACCCTGTGAAGAATAAACGAATACGCACTCACTTTCATCGTACGTCCTACAGCAGGATAATTTGCATTTAAATTGTATTTACGCAACGATCGAAAGTTCGCAGCGCGAAAGCTCGCGTTTCGGAATCAATTTACATCCAAAATCCACTGAACCACCCCGCCGTCAAAGTCTGCCCACCAGCACCTCATCTCCAAGAAATAATATGTGTTTATTATTTATTGATTCATGTTGATCACTGTAACGTTCAAATAATTAAAAATAATCATTATAATCATTGATAATGTCAAACTATCTAATAAAGATAAATAGTGAAATAAAACGAAAATTTCAGATCAATATAAATCCTTAGTGATGATTATTTCCTTGCGAATGTGAAGGAAACGGCAGAAACCAGCGATTAATTGTCGTCAGTCTGATAATGAACTTGATCCGAGAGTTAGTAATGGTAGTAATAGTACTATTGGGTTTGTGAAGAAAGAAAAGATTTCTTATTCAGCGGAAAATTTCTTATTGCCCTCCATTTTCGTTAGCTATCTTTCATTACGACTTGCGTCAAGATTCGCAAAAATCCGAAAGCAATAGTAAGAAACACTAAGAAAATCTTAGGGATCTCTAAGAATTTGTCCGAATTGGTTTCAACTGTTTCTGGTGCTGTTTCAATGGAACTATTTCGTCCATAGTGACAACGTAACTACCCGCGCCGCTTCCGATCGTGATGATCATCACTATGGCTGATTGGCGAAAATAATGCCTCGTCGACTTTTATCAACGGAGAAATTGAGTCGCCGTGGAGGGAATTGGGAGATCGATAGTGGATGCCCGGCGACAGTTGAGGCGGGGAGCAAGGTCCGAATGTGTAGTCAAATTGTCCCTTTGGTAATAAGGGTTGCACACAATCATTCGCACGATCCGACCATCGGGGAAGGAAGCAGTTGAATGAACCAGACCAAAAAGAAATCGAATTGAAGGAAGCCTCTTGTCTTTACATCCTTACATAATTTTAATTGTTTGAATTTCATTTATCAAACCAACAATACACTCATCACATACAATATTCTGGAAAACCAAACAAACATTAATTAAGTAATTGACAACTTCTTAATCAAAAATAGTTATCAACATGATTCGGAAGTAAAATGTAATTTCATTTATGAATGTATTTCCGCTGTGTTGTCTTCATGGTTTTATTATGAGCATGTTGTCAGTCAAACTTGTTAGCGATGTGTACATTTTTAATCTTTAATAGAACTGCGCTCGACGCGTGCGGTACGTATACGTAGCCATCAGCGTTATTGCTTTATCATCATGATTATTATTGCACACATTCTCACACATAAAACATGTATTTATAACACTCACATTCGCAGTTTACTCACTGACAATGAGAATGTGCTAACGCACACATCCACTGCCGCGATATTAAATTATTTATTACGTGTAAACATTGCTAACAGTTGGTTTACACGCGGCGTAATAATAATAACGCGCTCCGCACGATGATGATGAACGATGATGAGCGCAAAGTACTTCGAATCAATGTTTACTCGCTATCAACGTAGGTATCATATTTTCCGGACGCGAACGAGAGCTTCATGTTTGTTTTCATACTTTTACTTTGCAATTATGACATGTTCCCATTTTCAAGTAAATTTAACTAAAGATATTATCGTAGTTTTATATTCTACTTTAGAAAAAATAAGTTTGAAGTTACGTTACGTTTAAATAGATTCTTTTTAAGTGTAAAATCAGTAGTTTTAAATCCGTTTATCCTATCCCATTCGATTTGTGATGTGTGAGCACGCATCATCGTTCTCTCCATCGAGATCGCGATCGCACCACGCGCACTGAATATTGATATCCCAGCGAGTCCTTGCAAAGCTACGGAGGAAACCCGAAACCGAGAAACGTAAAGTAATTTTATACCCGTTCGAGTCACGCTGTAACTGTGCCACGTGCCGAGTCGAAAGCGAACATTTCACGGCTCGTATCTCATCCGAGATCGCGATTGAATTACGATTGAATTATGAATCAGGATGTCGAGGATGTTGCGTATTGTGATTTATTGTCGCTGCTGTGCAATACACAAAAATACGCCTGTTCTGCAGCATTTTTATCTTATTTGTAGACCTGAAATATTTTTAACGATGTATATCTGGTTATATTGAAAAAATCACGCTCGAATTTTTTGCTTGTTTCAGGTTGTGCTTTCGTGAAGTTCAGCTCGCATCAGGAAGCGCAGGCGGCCATTAATAGCTTGCACGGTAGCCAAACTATGCCGGTAAGTCAACACGAACGCGTATTCCGGGGGAATTAATTATGGGCAAACAAACTTGACAAACTACCGCGCTGAAAACATGCGCGAAATAAAATCCGTAAACATCCGGAGGAAAAAATATTTCCAAGTAAAAGAAAAACAAACAAAATACACAAGAAATAAAAATAAATCTACCTGTAGAAATAGGACTTTTCACGTTAAATTTTTGTGTGCGGATAGGTAGATTTGTTTATTTTCCCCTCGTGATGTGCTAATTACAGCAACGCGCCACGACGTTGTTTTGCCGTTTTATTAATTTACCTTTCCGTGTCGTCGCCGTTAGCATTAATTATGAATCTCTTTATAAACGTGTCCGACACGCTGCCTCCTGTTCCTCGTTGCTGCCCCGCGGGGCTTTCGAAACAAGACAGGATCCTTGTCCGCCGACGGCAACAAACGTGTTGAATGCCCTACGCACAACGATAACAAGACTCCCAACTTGTGTTTATCAACATTTCCTTGACTAATTTTATACAAAAAAAAATCTCGCATTTTTTTAGCAAAATCTGGCTGGAATGTGCCATTAAGTCGTGAAAGGCGCCGAGTTTTTTTTTTTTTTTTTTTTTTAATAAAATTTAAAATCTCGCCGCGTTTAAATAAAGAAGCAAGTGCGAATGACAGCTTATGAATGCCAGCGCATTCCGGATTTTATAAAAATGCTTTATATAACAAATATTTCGAAATTAATTTTGTTTTTTCTACTATAATATATGAATACGTTCAAATAGTGTATAGAAATTTTGTTTTGTGTGAGTTTACGCTGAAAATGCTAAAATTATTATGTAAATATAAAAGGAGTTGGGCTTTTGGAAATTCAATTAACATCGCGCGGAATCTCGCGGCGGGCGTTGCCGGAGGGGGTGGTTGGTAATAGGATCGGCTCAAAATTGGAAATTCTCGTCCGCGACCGCGTCGGGTTATTAGGCGGCCGCCGGAGCAGCGTCTCTACGCTTTTTATTATCATCGGCATACAAAATGATCGCTCGCGGCCAGAAACCACCTCCCTACCCGTCTTTGGCCACGTTCAACCAGTGTAAGCGGTTTGAACGGATTATTATTTAAAACGTATTCATGAATGCCGCGAAATGAATTTTTTACTTATTTTATTTCGCTGGATGCCTTTTCGAGACGCACGCCTCGGCCAAAGTGAATTGTCGAGAGTGGCGATGATGGCGGCGGCAAAGTGGGAAAGTGGGTGCGCTTTGGTCTTCGGCCGGTCGTGGGTTGAAGTGAAGCCCAAGGCAAACATAACGCTCAAGTGCGCCTAATGACTGAGTACACATCATCTGCATAGCGGTGCCATGGGGGCGGCATCACCATCACCTCATTTGCAACCTGCAGGTCGAATCATTTACATAGAATAACAACCCGCGGTGGGTTTGTAACCGAGGTGCGCGTCTCTTCGCTTCGTTGGCGCTCATTAATATTGCATGCATCCATCCCATGGAGAAACTCGAAAGGGCGCGCGTCTGAACTGTATTTGTCGGCGGTGATGGTCGTCGATATCAAGCTCTTCCTCGTCGCGTCGCTCGCGCGCTTAATATTCTCAACTTTATATCCAATTTAACTTTTATCCAATATCTTTTAGTCGGGCTGGCTTTGCCTGCGCCGTCGGTACACTTTCGGTAATTAAACGATGTCATTGGCATGTGCGAGTGCCGTCGCGGGAACTAACTTCCCACTTTGGGCGAGCCCACTCTACGCCGCTCGCAGTAAACGTTTCGAGTCCTTCGAGAGGTCCTTCGGCGACGAACTGCATTGCGCTTGCTTTTGCCTCGAGACAATATTTTGCTGACGCGATAAACTCCAATCTTCTTACCAAGCTTCTCCGAAACAGCAAAAATGCGATTGGCATGCTTAGGGCAAAATTTAATTTCGCATATGCAAAATTTCATCATAACCCACCAAACTTATTAATAAAAAAACAGTTTTTATTTGTCAATATGATTGAACAGGATTTGTAAATTTGAAAACCTTGACTTATTAAAAGAATTAAGTGAATGTTGTCAAGTGGAGTTGATGTTTCTGTGTTGTCTCTGTCGGCAGTAACGATTATTGACGTGAGGCGTAAAAGTCAAGTGAAATTGCTGTGTGAGGCAATTACACGCGCCGGGATGGAAACGAAACGAGATAAATCACATTTTAACAACGCGCCGCTCATCTCATCGATAGCGTCGCCAATTTGCGCCGACGGCACGCTTGCTCGCGCACCATAAAGGCAAACAGCTCATCATCGCGCTTATTATTTCTGCTTCCTCTCTGTTTGCTCCCGCTTCCGTGCCAGCAAGCCCCAGTTGTCTCTGGCTCGTCTCGTTTATCCAAAAAGTGGCAAGCCGAACAAATAAAATATTCATACGAATCAATTTATCGTTTGATATCTGAACAATTCATATCTTTGCAGTCAATATCCTATGATACAATACGATGAGTGGCATGGGGGCGGCATTTTTTTCCTTTATTGTGAGCATGGTAAAGATATTTTGGGAATGGGCGGGGAAACGTACGCTCGCTTCGCTCATCCGGCAGCAAATGGAACGTAATTATGTTATCATCCGGTGCGTCTCGAAAAATGAAATCAAATTTCCATCCAGCCAGCTTTGACTTCCAGCTTCCCAACTAGATTGCTTTTTATTCGGAGGGAGCGTTCGCGTTTGTCTTCTTTCGTGTGCGCTGTTGATGCTCAATGCTCAATGCTTCCGAAAAGAGAAGGGAAGGTTGTGAGGGGGTGGTTTTTGGTAGCATGGTGTGGGCTTCCCTCGGGCTTGCGTCTATGCGCGCATATTTCTTGCATTCTCCTTTTTGAAACTGACAGCTTGATAAAGTAGTTGCAATATTTTATAATACAAGTGAAAGTTTCTTATCTTAGCACGCTCGCATCCTCGTAGGTATCATGATAAAGTGGCTGCTTATATATGTATAATAAATACAATTATGAACTTTTTGGTTGCGCCCGGCGCCTTCACCTCAAGGCGAAGGTATAAATAATGCAGTTTATCTCCTTTGTTTCGGTCGTGCAGAAATTCGCGCAGAAATTGGAGAAATCGTAGAAAATTTACGAATTGTTGGAAAAGTTGGTGGCCTTACTGTTTGCGGTGGTCGCTGGCCAATAATAATTTATCAGTTGGAAAGTTTTTATTTTTAGGACTCCGGACTGGATCTTTTGGTCAAACCATCACCGACAGTCACATCTCCGCTTGTTCACATTAGAAGGCAAACAATTCCTCGTGCAAACAATCGCTTCTACCCTCGGTCCGATATTTTCGTTGATGGCTCTCTTCGTCCGCTTCCACTTTTATCGCCGACTTTGAGTCGTACTCACACACTTGCGAGGCACTCGGCTCGAAAGAAAACTACACTCGAAGCGTGCGCCAAAGCCGCCAAAGCGACGGCGTTCGATTGGTGAATTGCGCGAAGTAAACGTGAAAACTTGACGTAAAAGCTTGGAACGCGGTGACGAGAATGAGTCGTGAGTGGCGGAACCTGAAAGTTTTTCGGCAACAAGCGGACACAAAGCGCCACGAAAGCTGCTTCGACGAGAAAACGTATTTTATTTCGTCTCGGCAATGCGACCTGTCGATGACATGTTCGCGGCAAGGCGACACACAAACCCGTGCTTCCACTCGAGAGGGTCAAACTGAACAACGAAGCGTTGCCAAACAATACACCGAATACGCCAAAAGCTCGCATGCACGGTTTCCTCTCGATTCAAACCCCTCGCAAGCTTTCGGCACCGCGACTCTAATGCACATGTTTGAGCGTTTCCGTGACGCCGCCGCTGCGGTAAAACTAAATGAAGCAATTACTGTGTACCTTGTGTGATTGCGCAAGGGTGGGCCACGTCGATGCCACGTCTGTTTAGGCGGAGGAAAACCGCATTCAATTTCCAAGTACGCGCCCGACGCGCCGCACAATGCAACGTTTATAATTAAATTTCCTCAGCGTGCGATGCCAGACGCATTTGAACCGAATTTCAAGGCTTAACACGCAATTCTAGTCGTAAAACCTACATAATCCAGCTAAAACTAAACAAACTCATTGTATACTCACAATAATAAAGATAAAACTGTTAAAGTTCCATCACTTGTTTTGATAGTTAATATTTCTCAAAATTTTTGTTTAATTTAAATTATATTAATCATTTTAATTAGGTGTTTATGATATTTCATCGTGATAACTTATTGCAATCTACAAAATAACCCATTAAAGCCTACACCATTTACTTTTATCTCTGCACTCCCATCAGTTCGCTAGTTATTAAGTTATTTAGTTGGAACCAACTCGTGCGCGAACGCCTCGCGTGGGTCGGAGCATAATTATACACCTGAGGGGGCTCGACGCAATTCCACTTGTCATCATAGTTAACATTAACACTTTGCACGCTCGCATAGTTGAACCTTCCGCCCTCGAGAAGTGTGCTGTGCTCGTAATATTTCAAATTGTTTGCATACTTATTCTTATACCAAACGAAACATAATATTATGACTTTTTTATTGTAAATTCAACTAATTTCTATTCATCTATAATTTCATATTTTATATTTTTATAAATCAAATTATATATGATGAAATGTTTAGCAATTTTATTTAATGCAATGAAATTGAGTTACCACTACGTCCGGAATATTTTATGCTGAAAGTGACAACTTAAGTTCATCAACCGGCGCGCGAGATTCTTTCCCAACCTGTTACTGCGTTGGTGCTGGCGTTACAGGCCGGCAATAAAACATCCCTCGCGCGCATCACGTTAATGCGTTCGTCTATTTATCATTCGATAGCGTCGCGCTTGTTTGCTCGCCGGCAGTCTCCCAGAGCTGCGAGAGCTTTAAAAGAGCTTTGTACGCGGATCTAGCGCGCCGTAAATTTTAAAACTTTAAATAAAAACAAATTGTGCCGTTAAACATTACATAAATTACATAGTTAAATTTACTACGGTTATGTCAGGTATTTCAATTTATTACTATGCAGATAGATATAGATTTTGTTAAAATATTAAAGGGGATTAATGCGTTTTTGTTTGTTTTTGTTAGTTGCTATTTGTTGTGACGATATCTAGGGATTGCAAGTAATGCAGTTACGCTTAGTTTAATAGCAAATGCTATTTTGATAATTACACCCTATGCTAGTGCACCCTCGTCTTTTAATTAAAATCGATTAACGCGGTGTTATACATATAACAATGTTTCCTCTATGATTGTGGTAGCGATTGAATTGTCTGTTTTTGGGGTTGCTACTTCAATGAATACCTAATGTTACAATAAATTTTAAATATCATATGAACCCAGCTTAATTTTATATTGTTTTAAAATTAATATAATGATTTTAAGTTTTATATAGTGCTGGAGGCGCCGGGCGACTGAAATTTGTGATTAAATTTATTGATTTTCTCGTATCTTATGGTGGAGTTTAAAGGAGTATGAGTTGCATGTGAGCATCCACCCCCTTGGAAACGGTCCTCGCCTACAAGGCCAAAACTAAAACCTATCGATGCGTGCCGGTTCTGTCTGCTCATTATTACAGGATTACAGTTCATTAGTTGACCGGATCAAACCTGAGCGCGCTGCGTGCACACATGGCCCGCTAGCGATATCGGGGTTTTGGCCGTCGTGCCCGGCCAACGTAATGCCTATATCGCATTGACAGCTTTCCTAAATCGCAGACGCACGTTGCCATAGTCAACGCGGGAGAAGCGCGCCGAGTAGAGAATTGATGACTACTGCTCACCGAGCCGTGTACTTGTTTATTACATTTACATGAAAGCGATTTCACGGTACGCGTGCTCACGTCCACCGGCCGAACGAAAGTGCGCTGCGTTTTGATATTATTCATACGTGTAACAATTATTGCGAGCCTCTGAGCGCACCGAACGGACAGCATTGTCGGAGTGCATCCAATTAAAACGCTACTAGGGCATGAGGAAAATTTGGCGCACTACAGTCAACATATAGTTTAGAATCTAAACTTTAAATAAATACAAAATTTTACTAAATGTTTAACAAAAATAACATAATAAGATATTACCTCGGGTGGTTTTAAAACCGATATTTCAACTATAAAAGTGTTCTTAAATTATTAAATCAGACAATTGTAATATTTTATGTATTTTTTACTTTAAAGTTAAAAGTATAGAAAATTGCTTAGAATTTGTATGAGTTAAAGCCAGACATGCATTTACAGGGTATAACTGACCACCTGTTGAGACACAAAACGTTTTTTTCAAAGACCGGCGCCTCCACGCTTTCTCGCTCTTGAAACCGGCAGCGCAACCGGTGCGCAACCCATTTCCCGGTGATTATAGTCCGTGTTGTGAATTTCAAATTCACCTACATAAAGTTCAATGAAACTCCGGAAAAAAATCTAATAATGTTACGTAGGAATTGCATCGGTTTGAAACATGTGTCTCCAATTTTGAGGATATTGTCCGTATCGATATTAAATTGGTCAAATTGGTCTCTAAACTGTTTCATTTCGTATCTATCCGTGGTCATGCTTGATGTAGCTTGCGCCCGAGGGGAGAAAAATAAGCCTCTCGAAAGTGAAGTGGCGTTTTAGCGCAAAGCCCATTGTTCATCCGTTCGGAGAAAATCAATCGGCGACGCAGGGCCTCGACGCAATCGCCGCCACCGCCGCCGCCGTTTCGCCCCAGTTGCGGCGACTCTCCTCAGATGGGAAATCTATTAGAAATCGTTAAATCCCACTCGCTTCCTTCGTATCCATCCGCCATCCAATTTCGGTTGGTGTCGCCCGAGTGGCATCGACATCGAAATCTCACACTCCGGTCGGAATGCTCCACGGCGCGTAACACGGCTAACACGGGGTCACAGGATGTCCGACCCTTCGGCATGGAATTCCTTCGCTGCGCCTTCACTTTACCGAAAATTTTGCCGCCTCGCGTGGGTAAAGTTTTTGATGTCAATAATTAAAATCGGCGCGGCATCCTTTTAAGCTTACAACTAGAAAGTCTGTAATCGACATTCGACTCATCCGAAAACCCTCCATTCCTAACTCAAGTTTTGAGCCATCGAGATGAAGGAAAACAGGAAAACGCGAGTGTTTTGCAGACGCGCGTAACTTAATTCCGTCGCAAATTGAATAAGGCGTCCTATTAAGGGGGTTGCTTGGAAATGAAGTGACCCTGTGGGTAAAATATTAAACATGCATGAGTCCTTCGTGCAAACTCTCTCGGCGCCACTTTACCGCCAAACTCATACCGCGCAATATCAACATTTTCACCGTGTAGACAAACATCAAAATACGTGTAGGTATTTTCGTTGCACTAAAATGAAAATAAAATGTTGTCGGCAAATTTTATTTTATTAAAATAACAACACGAATAGAATGTTCGAGTTACGAAATCGATTTGTCGAATGAACCCACCGAGAATATGAGACACACTTTACTTACTATTCGCCTCGGGTCGTTGGATCGGGAAGGAAATAAATCATTTTTATTCGATGCAACAGATGAGATTGTTACAGCTGACATTCGACGTGGTGTGTGCGCTCGTGTTTGCGGCTCGCAATGATAATCAATCAGCCGGAAGTCGGAATCCTGCGATTGTAATCTCTACGCTTTCGGATTAATACTTGTTGCTATTTTTGGTCTAGCTTCAACCACCGGGGCACATAATGTGGAATACGATTAACGCGGATTCCACTTCTACTAAGACCATAAAGTAAATTGAACAATGCGATTAGACATTAACATCTCATTTATGCGCGCTCGTTATTCAATGCCGGGCAGAGCGCACAAACGCAATTATATTGATTACCAGGCGATACCCCTTGTTGTACATCCTTTGATCCCGGGCCCCACCGAGCATCAAGGCGGTTTTGATACAATGTGTTCTGAAATTCAGCGCTCTATAATTGGCAATTACTACGAAGTGATAGCCACTTCATATCATTCCGCTTTACTCCTCCCTAGCAATGCCCGTCAAGTTGGGACACACTTTGTTTGAATCCGAATGTTTGGCGATTGCTACTTGCCTGAATATGTCACCGGGAAGGAGGCGGAAGCTATTGATCTTGATAACGTTGAACTTTCTGTACCTGCTGCGGTGCCGCCGCGTTGCTTTGTTATGAGTTAATCCGCGAGTAAATCAAGCCGAAGTTATGCGCAAGACGGAGAACTTTGCCCGGCCATAAATTAGACAACATTATAATCTCTACAATTAGTTATCTTTATCGATCGCCGAACGTTGCGCTTTCGAGTTTTCGGGCGAGGGAAACGTTTGGAACATTCGCAACCGACAAATGAAGACAATGCTGAGCTGAAGAGGGGTTGTGTGGGTTCGGTTTTGGGGGTTTTGAAGCGGGTTTAAAGGGTGTGAGAGAATAATATGCTTCAATATCGTCTCTTCTCTGTGTGTTCCAGGGAGCCTCTTCCAGTCTAGTAGTAAAGTTTGCAGATACCGAAAAGGAACGCCAACTGAGACGCATGCAGCAGATGGCCGGAAACATGAGTCTTCTCAACCCTTTCGTGTTCAACCAGTTTGGAGCTTACGGGGCTTACGCACAGGTAGAACAAAATGTTTGCTTTAAATAAAAAAACAAACGTAAAAAATTCTAAACATTTTTTTTGTTTTACAGCAACAGGCAGCCATAATGGCGGCGGCAACTGCCCAGGGCACGTACATTAATCCGATGGCGGCGCTGGCCACGCAAATACCCCACGCCACGCTCAACGGCATGGCAAACTCAGTGGTGCCGCCGACTTCAGGTAATTCTAATTCTAATTAATTAAATGTGCTCTACTGCCGCGCCATATTCGTCATATTAATTAGTCGACGCGGTTCCGATTACCAGCCTGTGTTTGTGTCATTAAATTAAATTGGACTCCGACAAATGACACGGTTTTGTCGCGCTGAAAAAACAACAACCATTAGATAACAAAATTCATTTTAAATTACCACCGCGCAAACATACTACCCCGAATTCAATATAATCCGATATATTGCGTTAAATTACAAGTTTTATGTCACAACATTTGTAATTAAAACGAATTTTAAAACATTGTTTGAATTCATCAAACGACATTGTCGTATTTTTGTTTCATTTTGATTGCAATTGCATGAACATTATTTTTTATTTATTGTAGTTTGAATGCGAATTAAAAATTTTGCATTTGTTGAAATTTTAGGCGCAGGAACGGGTCAACCGGTGAACGGTGCAATTCCCAGCCTGCCGTCGCCGACGATGCCGACGTTCAACATGGCCGCGCAGACCCCCAACGGTCAGCCCGGTGGTACGGAGGCTGTTTATACCAACGGTATTCCCCAAACATACCCAGCTCGTGAGTATCTTGTACCAGTGCGACAGGCAGGTTGATATTCATGATATTGTTATTACATTGTGGTTAACACTGAATATCATGTGAAAATCAACCTGCCACGCGTCTGTAGTTGTTCTTGGGTGTAAAAAGAATCGACCTCACTGAAATATAGATGCCCTTCATCTGTCCATTCCAGCGCAAGGCTTGCCCAACGGCGAGGCGGCTCTTCAGCACGCGGCATATCCTGGTATGCAGCCATATCCAGGAGTTGGTAAGTAGATCTTAACAAAATTCAATTTTCTTTTTCATACCTAAAATTAATCACAATAAACTTATGTTTTTTTGGTTTAAATTTCAAACTAATCATTTTATTCGTTGTTGTTATTTTTGTTTAGTTTATTGTTGCTCTTGTTTAACACAAAAGTGCGATGTGCTGTTTTGATATTAGCTTGCTTTTGTGTTCGTGTTCAGTGTTGCAATGTTTTGCTGATATGAGTCTTTAAAATGTGCCAAAGCAAAACGTAATCATTCTTATGCATTACACTCTTTTTTAATACTTTTTTATAAAATATACAAACAAAATTATTTCCTTTCAAATATATTTTAAAAATTGAATCGTACTGATTGGCGGCAGGAACAAAAATATAGATTGTGAATTCAAGTATTATTCATTATAGCCGAAACGAATTGCTAATTGCAATTTAGGAATAATTGCCAATTATTTTTCGGCTTCGTTAAAAATTTTTACCTGCTTTGAAAGATAGCCGCTTTAAAAATTGAACTACGTAACGGTCTCGCAAGTGAAAGACTTCATTGTATTAAAAAAATGTTTTTCGTTAATAAAATTGAAAAAAAATCTACTGCACGCCGCAGTAAATTCTCATCATGCGTTGCATCCTGCACTATAAGTCACGCGACAACAATACAAAGTAGAAATAATTGTCGTATTTCTATGCCAGCGCATAAAATATGCAACAAATTGCCACTCGCGAACGACATGAAAATACCGAAACAAAAAAATGAACATATCACCGAATGCCTTTTATACGGCTGCGTTGAGCTACACAATTTACAACTACACGCGTGTGCCGCGGGCGCTATATTATATTCGCAAAATGTGCACTTTATATTATATAGCAAGCTAAAAAAGATTCATGGCATGGAAATTATTCGACGCGCTATTTTTTCGTGTCAGCGAACGGCGGGTGGGGCTTTGTGAATATTTAGCAGACTTTATTATTCCCCATTTTATTTCGCATTCATCCGTGTAATTTCTTTCGGCGCTGTCCGCGCACGGCTAAAAAGTGCATGAAATTATTCGCCATGAATAATACATGCGCACAAACCCGAAACCCCACGGCAAGTCTTACTCTAGTACCCAAAAAATAATAATAACATCAAGTGTGGCATGAAAACGTAATTGTACAAATGACTACAAAAAACTTAACATTTATTAAATTTATTCAAAAATCTCTGATTTTGGCCATTTCAGCACTCGAAATTTTACTAAAACGGAATTAAAATAATGACACTTATGTATACATAATATATTCGTATAATACTCATTTATTTTGTTAATATATGGCTGTGTTGTCCTTTGTGTTGATGGTTTAACTTGTTTATTTATTTCTTGCTTTCTTATCTGATTATTGTGTGGTTATTTATAAGCTTAAATGAATTCTTGTGCATGACTGAGAATTGCATTCATGGAAAGGTATGGGTGTGATTTGTTTATATTTGTCAGCAGCTTACCCCGCGGTATACGGACAGTTCCCACAGGCAATACCCCAACCCATGTCGGCAGTCGCGCCCGCTCAACGGGAAGGTAAGGCAATTGCATAAACATGCCAGCAACCCTCCCCCAAAACGTGAGATAAGTTAAAACACCCTAATATTCACTTCAAAACAAAATTTAAATTTCGAAATTCGTAAATGTTCCACTCAGTCAAAAATATTCATATTAAATGCTTTAAAAAGTGAAGCTGTGTGTGATTTATTTGTGAGTGCGGATATTTGCAATTGAACATTATGCAATTACGTTAATCGTTACTCTATCTCTCTCTACTTGTTAATCGATGTGTAGGTGTTCTGGTGCACTGGTTGTGTTTACAAATCTTTTTATCTTTGGGCATTGGCTATAAATATTACCGAATCTGTCACTGTTTATCGATGTCGATTGGTGTTGCGTGTTTTGTGAAACAATCAATCCATATAAGCCAGATGAACTTAAAGTCATGTTAAATGTTCGAACACAAGCCAATATTTGAATCCAATACGAATGAACTTTTAACATTTCTCCATGACCCATGTTAGTCCATATAATGAATATGATATATGTCGTGTTTAGTCAAGCTTTCCATTCTAAATATAGTACTACAGGTAGTAGAGATCGTTTCAAAACTCATAGTTGATTTTTCCATGTAGGATGTTCCATATCTGGCCCGGAAGGATGCAATCTTTTCATCTATCACCTGCCGCAGGAGTTTGGTGATGCCGAACTGATGCAGATGTTTTTGCCCTTTGGGAACGTGATCAGTTCGAAGGTGTTTATTGATCGCGCTACAAATCAAAGCAAATGTTTTGGTAAGTTATACAGTTTGCTTCTTTTTGTAAAGGACGAGTTGTAATGGTGTTTGTGCTGTTTTTTGTTTTAGGTTTCGTGTCATTTGATAATCCAACGAGTGCGCAGGCGGCGATCCAAGCGATGAACGGCTTCCAGATCGGCATGAAGCGATTGAAGGTGCAGCTGAAGAGGCCAAAGGACGCGAACCGGCCGTACTAACCCTGGCTGATTGCCCACAATCAGCCGGATGGCATACACGCCAATCGTATACTACTGATCGCGCATTGAAACCGAATCGCATGACATACCGCTAAAGTAAAAACAAACAAACAGGGACAATTGTGCCATGCACGCGGCCCAGTATAAATTACATAAAGAAAACACTTAAAATAAAAACCAAATATAGCCGGTAGCAAAGCGAGCCGGAAAACTACACTAGAACAATACATATATTAAGCAACTTAAGGAATTTGAACGGATGCGCATCAACACGCAGGAAAAGACGCAGCACATACAAAAATATTTGAATTACTAACAAAACTATATTAAAAGAATTTATATTATTATATATTATATATATATACTATGACTAAACTAGCGACTAAGGGCTTAGACACGTAAGGGTAAGACGTTTTCGGGGCGTTTGCAACACACAGAATTAACGATTCACGATCACACCGATCAAAGCGGTCGGCGACGCGCATCGTTCGCAATTGTATTCGAGAAATTCCAAATGGGCTGTGATTAAATAACAAATCAGTGTTTGATTGTACAGGCCGTTTTGTCTTCTCGTTTGTGAAATGTATTAACTATTTTTCAGAGCGTCGTCGTAAACTCTATATTAAAGTATATACGTTGTAAGTAATTGTGTGTTAATCTGTAAATCAGAATTATTGCGAACGATGCCGGCGCACCGTGTACAGAATCAAATGCAAACGTTGCAGTAGCGACGAAAAAGGCGATGGAAAAAAAAACACAGGTCAAAATGAAATTCATATAACACACAATTACAATTTGTATTGAACATTGCGATTTGGAGATGAAAAAAAATGAGATAAACACAAAAACAAAAGAGTAGTTGCCAAAAAATTATATAGTCTGGGCATGGTCCAATTTGTGATGCTAGTCACATATTTATTTATTACTAGGTATACACACATATTGAATTATATGAATTATATAAATTATATTATTACTAATTATTACGATTACGGTTTAAGGACGACGAGTGCGGACGGATGTAAGAGTTACACGAGTTACACGCATATTAAAAATATTTAGATAGGGTATTAAGCGCTAAACCGAGTATTCACAGGCTTTTGGAGACCTCCTTTGAAAGTCGCTTTCCAGACGCGCAGAAGATCTTGTAAGATAAACATTTATTAAGATTACTAGGGATGCATACACGTAATGACTTATCTCGTATCTTACAAAGTACCAACATATTATCTTAATCTTAATGAAGAATTGTACATTTTAAATTTACGATATGACTTATTGAAACATTGCGAGAAGGAGCGCTGCATTATACTTCTTGGTTATTTATCGCAGCTGATAGTAGCGAGTTTTACAAGGAGGATATCAAAAGAACGCGCAGATTGTTAACGTTGAAGTAAATCGCCAAAAAAAATAACGTAGGTTGTTGATGAACAGAAATTAGTAGCTTTGCGCGCGGGTTGCGGGTAGCTTGACGCCCTGTACGATTAGAAGTTAATTTTGTTTTTGGAGGTTTACCACGCCGGCAGAAGATGTTACAAAGTGCAACAATTATCTCAAAATTTAAGGCGGAATGCCAACAAGACAGGATTTAGTTTTGACTGGTAGAAATTCAAGATGGAAAACTGATACTTGTACACTCGGCTGGGCCACACTAGTCAAATTATTAAAATGCGGCTGCGTTTACTTAAAGAAAACGGCTGCGCTTAGTTAATAACTCTACCTGCGTAAGAAATAAATTATTGACACAAAAACTATAAGTAATTGAATTATTGAAATTAGCGCTAATTTACATACTTAATCATATTTAAACAAACCAAAAAAGTAAGAAAACATAGTATTATACACTTTACGATTGTACTTAATAAGCTGAACATATATTTCTAACTAATAGTGCAAGAAAGACAAAACCAAACAAGCGGTATATGAAATACACACAACCTATGAATATTGCTGACGCAAGATTAAGTTAGAGTTGATCGACAACAAAACCATGAATTTAGTCGGGATCTTCGTTCCAACTTTTCAAACGCGCCTTTTTACTAAAGAATTACGCTAAAGAGTCTAAACGATCACAAATTGTACATTGTACAGAATGCGTGCTCATCACATTTATACAGAGTTCAAATATCGAGGCGCTGTTGATGTTGTAAAAGCTGTAAATTAAAAAAGTACATCAATGGCGTGCCATCTGAAATCTAGTTGTTTGCGTTCGATCGCATCGTGGATGAAACACACTTAAGCAGACTTAAGAGAAAACCTAAACGTTTACAAAGTGACGCGATATTTTTCCAACTTTACATTTAGAGACACTTAGACCCGCCCCGTGGGGGCGTCGAGTAAATGTAAAATGTAAAAAAACGATATGCATATTTAATCGGCGTTCATTCAGAGACAAACTAATCACATACACACACAAAAAGGAAACAAACGTCGATGAGTATTTTTGTATTTCAAGCGAAAAATATGAACAAAATTAACAAAAATCGATAATTATTGGTGCGGGAGTTTTTTATATCGATGACGACGGCGACGAAGTAGGTTGGGCGCGGTCGGACTTTGTTTTTCGAGTGCAAAATTCTAAACAAACACGTTTGATTGCAAAAAGGAACGGATGAATCGTTCGAAGGGAGAGCCTGTTTAAATGTAGCAGCACATATTGTATTATTATAACGCTATCCATTACAGACTATAAATGCATTTGCAAAATGCGTCTGAACAAGAGTTTTGATGTTCTTCGGTTCGAAACTTATTTATTTTTGTTTTCGTGCAATGATTTCGTGCAATATTCAATTAGTTACGAGTGCAACAAATGTGGAACTGATGGAAAAGTCAAGTGAAAACACTGAAAGATTAAAAATAAAACGCTTCAAGTTCGCTAACCGGCCAGAAAATAGAAGATTATAAATCAAGTTTCAATTCTACTTAAATAATTATGCGTAGCATAGGCGTCTAGTCGAGCGTATTTCGGTTCCGCAGAGGTTTTCGACTTTGCAAGTATTGCAACATTTGCTATGCACATTTCTATCTAAGCGTTTTCAATGATTGATAAACATTTTTAGTCAATAAGGCATAAACTAAACACACTCGTAGCACGTAAACTACTTACATAGCTGATAGCGTACTAAGGAATCTAAGGCTAAGCTTAGCATTACAAAAACTAGTTGTAAAACCAAACAAACAAACAAAAATGATGAAAACTAACGGTCTCCCCAATCAGACACACACGAGCGGATAATAATCAACGCAGCGAAGTGATCTAGGATACAGGGTATGTTTTTTGCAATTAAATTAAATTAAACTTAAACAAAGCGACGATCGACACACAAAACTCTCTCACGATCACGTCACCTTTTCACACTCACCGTCTCGGCATACGAGCGACATCGACGCGTCGTTGTAATCTTTGTAGGATTCTCACGTAAGCCCTCTCATTGCAAATGTCGCTCCGTTGACGGAACACACTGTACATATATCGGGGTCCATTTTGATCGCACCGTTTTATACAAATATTTGCAAACTGAACTGGATGGAGACGGATGGGGACGTATGTGCGAGTCGATGCGCCATTTTCTATGACGAAATGATGACAGCAACAATATCAATTTTGTAGGACATTTGAGGTAGATTTGCAAACATTTGTAAGAAATTCTTGGACTTGAAACCAACGAATTGAGCCACCAGAATTGCTGAGCTCTTTTCGTGTGCGCATTGATCCAAATTCGAAAATTTCTTAAATTCGTAATGAGATTTATACAAACGCAAAAACGAGTTGAAAAAATTAAAATAAATTCGGAGCGCTCGCGTTACCCTTATCGCATCCACCCGCCCATTGCATCACATGTAAGCTTTGCCACCCCCGCTAGCTGCTCGTCACACTCTCTCCGAACCGAAAGTCTTGGATTCCAATATTTGACAATAAACGATCGCTCGCAGCGGTCGCACGCGAAATGAACAAAACGACACGCTGCAAAAGTGTCTTAGACTTAGTGAAACATTGGAATTTCTAGGAATTGATATCAACATAACAGGCTATCAAGAAAAACAGAACAACTTGTAACATAACGAGATACATACTAGAAGTTGTGGGGAACGATTAATAAAATGGGATGGGTGTGGATCAGTCGCGACGATTTTCATTTGCATCGCAAGCTCTCCTCGAATCACTCCGAAATCAGAGTCATCGTTCATCCATTCGTTTATTCGCATTTATTTCTCTCATATAACGTACTTATAAGTCGATACATTTAAGTACTAATGAAATTAAATCTAATGAAACACGTAAAACTTAAACCAACAAGTATATACAGATGAAGAGCGACGCTGTTTTGCTAAGTGGCGCTTCACGATATCATTTTCTAGTTGATGAAACAGATTAATCACATAAACTACAATTTACACAATAAATAATGAAAAATGCAAACAAAAAAAGTGGGAAAATTTAGCAAATAAAGATTTCATCGACATATATTTTAGCTACGACTTAGACATAGGGTAGTGAAAGATAAACAAAAGTAATCATAATGAAAATATATAAATATATATAAAAAATCTATAATTTCTATTATACGTATATACTATTATTATGAGAGGGTTAAACACAAATTTAATGAGCAAATTTAACTAACTATTATTACAATTTGAATAACCGATGGCGGTGTGTGCATGGAGAAAAGCAAGAGAAACCAAACATTAAGAATAAAACATTTTCGAGGAAATCAACAGCGTTGAGACGACGATCCCGATTCGATCTCGATCGGGGCCGGAGAGCTTCGACGATCGCTTGACTAAATTTTGATAGAACATTATTATATATTTACTATTTGACGAGACAAAGTTTAATCTTACATACATATTACTTAATGCATAAAATACATAAATCTAGTCTGATACATATAAAGTTGCAAATGCGTGCTGTTAGGACGCAGAGACGATGAACTAAAGATATCTTGCCAATTCTTTTGATGTTTGATCTTCACATCAACACGTATGAGGTGAGAGTGAGGAATAAAAGAGATTTCACCCAACATTTTTGATGCTGGGACCAAGCTATTTTGTTTACTTTCTTGTCTTGCGTTGGTTTATGCTTTATTACTCGAGGATATTTGTAAATACATTTTAATGGTCTTTTTCGTACAACAAAAAGTAAGCGGGAGTTTGAACATAAAATTATAACGTTTAATATGATATCGAGTGAAACGTGGACGATGTCGAAGTAAGAGGTGCATCTAGTCAGGAAGTCCTCAAGTTCATGTGATTTAGATAAATAAATATCAAAAAACGTGCTAAACACACAAGACACAAAAGACGACAAGAACATTCGTTGATTTTAAAGTTGATTTCGAGTTTTTATCGAATGCGTTTGTTTTCATGATTTTCTATATTTATTGCGTCGATTTAAGCTAATTACTTACTAATATAAATTATACATATATTACAAGTATTTAAATATATTTAAACGATAAATTACGGAAGCATTTAATGAAATTATTTAAAAGTGAAGATAACGTAGTAGAAAAAGGTAATTAGAGCTTTCTATGATATTCCGTCGCGCGTTGCTTGCATTTCCGCTAAACCAATGAGAAAGATCGAGGCGTTGATAAACATTTTGGAGGAAATCCGAAAGGAACAAAGACGGGATATTCGCTACGCTTGTATACAGTATTAACTGAGGTCCTGCGCCGTAGGATGGACGACACAGTGCGCGAATCGTGGTTATCAATATCGGAGGTAATAAAACTAAAACAAGAGACACACATTCATCAATTACATTTTAAGGATAATCCAAGCCATACTCTGTTGCATGTGTCGGTTTTATTACATTTTACACAAAAATTATTATATATAATTATATTATACTGATATATATATTAAAAAAAAAAAACAAAAATATTATATTACAAAAATAAATTTAAAATACCTAAAAAATAAAACAAATAAACAAATGAATTATTATTACGATATAATATATTATTATTATATATTAAATAGATAGTAGAGAAATAAATTAAATTAATGAATCGATCGAGCCGCAAGCGTGTTTCGGCCGGAAATGTGGAGAATGGCATGGTTTAAAATTATTCAGAGAGTTATTCCGGAAATCGTTATCAATTTATATCGACAAACACTCAAAAAACGCGCAAATAAACGCAGGAAGATGCGAGCTGACCCAAAACAAAACTGTAATCATCGGAGATACAACTCCTCAACTTCTGAAACTACAGCATGAAATATACGAGTAATAATTATGTTTAGCTGAAGCAGTGACAACAAGCCAATTACTGATTGTATACTAAAATGTAACAATACCGCATACAACTCTGTAACACTTGTGAAACTTTGTAAAACTCAGAAAATGTCATCATGAACTTATTGTCAGTTTTGAATTGTTTGAAATTTCTGAGGTGCCAATGAAACTCACCTTTGTTCAATTTTTTGCTCTTGTTATTACTTGTAGATTTCGCTGGCTTCTGTCGATTTCTCGATCGGAAATCTGCGCATCTTTCACCTAAAAGCAAACCAAGAAATAACATTGTAAATTCAAAGTTCGATTTATACATGCATTAAACTAACGTATAATTACGAGTACATACCATAAAGAATTACATTTAAAATATTGATGAGAATATATTTATTACGGTTTTACATGTACCTATACCAATTAATGACATATTTACTAATTTACTTGATCTCGAACGGACATTCTGCGACGAGCGATAAAGAAAATATCGCAAATTTACAGTGCAAAACAGTGAGAATCGTGAAGAGGTACTGAGAAAGAAACGACATGAGTTGTAATCGATCATGCGAATTATGAATTTAAACCGAACAACAAAACGATGATGATAAATGATACTTATTGACATATTGTGACATATATAAAATAATTGATGATGAAGATACTATGATTACTTGGGTTTTGGGATTTATTTCGAGGACGCTATCCAGTTCATATGAAAAACTTTATAAAAAGAATTATAATTAATAAAGTTAAATATAATGCATATCTATATCTTGTTTGATTTTATTATTATTCCATGTACCCAACCTGAATTTCCTACACCAATAAAACAATTTAAAATCTTTCATTATCATTGATATGATAGGCTTAAGTAACATTATTTTTATCTAAAATTGACAGTATAGGCCCCAGTTGCAATTTTGCAACAATTTTTGTTTTGTTATGATTGGAATTTTTAAATTCAGATTTCGCATTCTGAAAGTAAATTTATTTTTAGATCGGAAACGAGTAATACAATTTTATGTTAAGACTTTATTGGCATAGAAAAGCCATTTTTTAAATTAAAATTGCAAATAAGGCCTAAACGGTCAGTGTTAAGAGAAATGTTACCTAAATCTGAAATCAGCATTTAAATTTTCTAACTTTTAATTTTTAACAAAATAAGAGAAATCTTTTGCCTTTATTTATTTTTTATATTCGAAATTAAAAATTAGAATTTTTAAATTCAGTTTTCGGATTCAGATATATTTTTAAATTTTGCTTTAAAAATTTAAGTAGCTTTTTTGTCTAACATTAACCGTTGAGGCCCTATTTGCTATTTTAATAAAAAAAAATGTATTTTGTCAGAACCTAACTGTATTATGGTGCAAAATACAACATTTTTCAATTAAATTGGTACCTAATTAATCGATATAGAATTAAACAGTTCATAAGAATCAAAATCTAAAAAATCCATTTTAAAACCATTTTTAGGACTTTAGGGTACTTTCTAGGGAGTTATTGGGATAGGGTGGCATGTAGGTAACATTCCCTTCCCTAGATTGCATTGCATATGATGATAAAATATAATCTGTATTTCATAAACATTATTTTTGTATATATAACTCAAATTTTAACATAAGTTTCAAGAGTCATCCTCAAACACTAGATCACTCCCACAGGTTGGACAAACGCTCCCCTTATTATCGTCCATTAGTGTTTTTGCCATTTCAACGCCAAACTGCGTAGAACATTTCAAGCATTTATAGACATTCAAAGTAGTTTGCGGTTCCGGTTTGTTACTGATAATCGCTCGCAAAGCTACCAACAATTTCGGCGACTCCTCGTTATCCCACTCGTACTTACGACATTTAGCGTCCTTTCGCATGGTGTCAAAATAAATCGTAATGGAATTTTCATCACTTTCGCAGATTGTCAGTGTTTCAATAGGCCAACGTGACAATTCCTTGCTGCGTGTGCTTTCGCGCTCCATAATATGTGATTCTGTGATAACTATGAAAACAGATTCTTCCGAATTAACAAGAGTAGCAAGAAAAATATTCTCTTCGCCATCGCCCAAGTCACCATCGTCTTGATCGTCATCGCTTGGAGTAGGAGAACGCCCCTCGTTAGTTTGCGCAGTTTCATACAATCCATTTGTATCATCTGGTTGTAATGTATCCTGACTTGTTTCAGAGGCTGTCGTGTAGGGCAATGTAGCGCTGACCAATTCCTTCGCAGGTTCAGGCTCTTCTTGTGAAGATAATTCTTCGGCAACCGCATATTCTATAGGAGAATCGTAAGGCGTTGACGAAAGCAGAGACTTTTCTATACCTAGAACATCCTGAACCAAGCTTCCAGCCTGACTCTTCAACCAATCCTCTCCGTACTCCTTTTTCAATTGTTCGATTTGCCGCTTTGCATCCAAATGCTCTCCGGAAAGCATCATGCTCGAGCTAAATTCTTCACTACGGTCGTGTTCCACGATTGGAGTGTACTCGTTATCGGTTATTGTCACGTTACGTACTCGTCGTGGTTTCTCAGCAACGTTTGCAGAAGCCGACGTATTTGATATTGTCCTGAGCCTCACTCGCGGATGTAACGAGCCAGTCAATTGTTTCTCGGCCTTGCTCAGAAGTTTGCCATCGAGAAGAAAGCGCACAGTCGAAGTACTCTCATGCAGATAGCTGGTAGCTCTTGGTCTATGTTGAGGATGATAACTTAATGGGTTTCCTTCCAAGTTTAGTAATTGAAGAGTTGCTAGGTTGGCAATAGGAGCTAAGGCTTTATGTTCAACAATGCAGTTTTCCCTTAGATCTAACTCACGAAGATTGGTCAAGGTAGAAACAGGTGTTAAATCTTCTATAAAATTGTAGCAAAGTACTAATCTCTGTAACAAAATTCATCATGAAATCACTTAGTTTTCCTGAGGAACTAATTAATGCTTGAGCATACCTGTATTCTATTGCATGAAGTACTTGTGAATTCTGGAATATTGGCCAATTTATTATAACTTAAATTTAAATTTTTTAAATTTGCTAACATATTCAACTTTTCAGCATCTTCAATGTCATTATGGCTCAAGTCTAGAGTATGCAAGTTTGGTATCAATGAAAGACCTTCAATTTGAGTTAAATGATTATGAGAAAACATAGCCTCCTTTAGATCATTCCATTTAATCTGTGGATCATTCTCACAATTATCACCACCACATTTGATCAAAATGGCCTTCATATCCTCTATACTTCTTGTGCAAATCAAACTTTGGAGCTGACTCCTAACTGTCTCAATTCCTTGAATTCTATCCAAGTTTAAATTGTGCACTTCAAGTAGCTTCAAGTTTTTAAACTGGGACACATCTCCACACCTACTGGTGCTGCATGGAGGCGTGATTTTGAGACTGGTGGATCTTTGAATAAAGTCATGTAGAAAATGCATATCCCTGAATTCTTCAACTCTCTCATTGGTGCTGCTCACTACATGAAATGAGGATGTCATGACATCGCGTTGGTCCATTAACATCCGGAAGGAATTATTCAGATCAACAAGCAGATCCAGTGATAAAATGAATTTACTATTGCCACTAAACACATCAGCTCCATTCCTTCGCAGAATATCTGCCAACTTTGATAGATCCCTTGTATCCATTATATATTAGATGAGATTAATAGAAACAACTATAGTAACCGTCAGAACACCTTAACAGCATGCTAAAACTTTTTATTGCTTAATATTGATGCAAATTTGTTGTTAAACTGGTTAGGATATATGAGAAGTTGATAGAAAATGGAATCAGCAGGAATGAGGTGCATTTTTGGTTGCCTACAATAAGTGAGCAAAAATTGTTTATTATCCTTCGCAGTGGCGCATAGAATATAAGAGGATTATTTAATCTACAGAAATAAATTAAACAATCTATAACATTTAATAAGTATTTGTATTGTTCATAAATTCCATCTTTAAAAATATATTACTTCCATACACAAACAAGTGATGTAGGATACCTGAGTTTTTCTGGCTAACTTGTACATGTTTTGTCATTTTGTCTAAAAGTGTATCAGAGCTCGTCATAAAGAACGATGCATCTCTTCGCCGACTTTCTTGAGCTCTTCGTCGGGGCACATGTCGGTTAAATTGCTAGATAATACGATTGTCGATTGAACACATCTGAAATTAATTCGAATGTAAGCATCAAGTATGATATCTGCTATGAATTCTTATTTAACATACTTCGGCGTATTCTCAGATAACACCTCAATGCTGCTTTGGCTCGGATTGCTTAGGATTGAAATATCGCTCTCACTGAAACGCTTCAGGCTCGTGATTTGTAAACATTCATGTAATGAATTTGCTGATCCTAAAAGCATAAAATGAGTATTCCTTTATAATGGTTTTGATTGTGCTATATTGTTTTACCTATACTATCAGAGGGAGAAGCAGGCCTCTGATGTCCTGCAACTATCCCGCTATCCTGCATTCCACATTCCAAGGTCCTAACGAGATCAATCTGTCGACTTTTCGGCTCAATTCTAGTTTCCACGCTCGTTTGGCTTATTTCCATATCCGATGTCTGCTCATATCTTTTCACAGCCTCAATTACAGTATTGGTCGTGGCAAATGACTGGAATGATCCATGCGAATTCATTTCCCGACCACCTTCAGCATATATAACCGTCGCCCCAGAAATTGACTGATAAGAACCTGAACTCTCCATAACAACTTCAAGTTTAGGCATTGAATCAATCTGCTTCAATTCTGAGGCACTTAACAGTTTCCCATCCAACATAAAATCTTTGCTTAAACTAGCAAATAAAAACGTACACACTGTGCCCCTATAATTCTTATGATAGCACAATGGATTTCCATGCAATTGCAACTTTTTCAAGAGTTTCAAATGGTTTAAAACATACAATGTTTCAACATTTATCAAACAATTGCAACTGACGTCTAAATTTTCTAAACTTAGCAAGTCTTCAAGATTTGTCAGGTCCTCAATGTAGTTGTTTTTAAGAATAAGAGTTTCCAATTTAAAATAATTTGAAAATTTCGGCAGTACTTCAATTTTGTTATTGGCAAGGTTGAGATGTTTCAGATTCATTAAGTAGTTCACATTTTCTATGTATTTTATTGAATTGTAGCTCAAATCTAGATTCTCTAGAACTGGAACAAACTCCAGGCTTGCATCCATTGAATGCAAATAATTATGAGAGAAGATAGCCTCCTTGAGTTCACTCCAGACATATCCTTGAGTTTTGTCTGCACCACACAGCTCAAGAACATCTTTTAAAGAATCCATACTCCTCATGCATGTTACAAACCTGAGTTGTGATCTCAATGCTTTTAGACCTTTCACTAAACACATGCTGAATCTCTGTACTTCCAACAGTTTGAGATTCCTGAAGAAATGCAGATCAATTGGGTCATGTTCAGTTACCATTGTCATTTGATTGCAGTCATTGAAAATTTTTAAAGCTAATGTTTGTTCCACAGCATTGTAAAGCATTTGTAGATCCACAGCATCTGAGATGTTGTCCTCCATGTGCTCATATGAGCAGTTAAGGCCATATGGCATTAGTGCCACCAATTTTGCATTGACCTTCTGCAGTAAATTGGTAGAGAGTGATAACTTACTCCTGGAGCATAGAATTGGGGCACTATCGTTCTTCAACACTTCGTAGAGGCTGGATAAATCATCGCGCTGCATTTTAATAGGTTGCCAATGTTTTTTCGATGCTGGAACGTGAAATTTTCCGTCGAATATAACGTAAATAAACAAAAGATCCAAGTGCAATTTTGGGGCGAAGTGAATTTGTTGGGTTTATGCTGAATTCTTGGTTACCTTACAGTGTTAGCTGCTTTTCTGTTGACTCTTGTTGTATTGCTCACATAATTATGTTTTACTACGAAAATTTCGTTGTCATCGTGCGAATCTGCGTTCTTTTTGTTCTTTATGTTTGTTGCGTATTTTTAACTTACACGCTTGTACCTTGATTTCTCAAATTTTTACTCTCACGTCCACTAGAGGACGTATTAGTCGCAGAGTTAATTGTAGCTATCATGGTTGCATACCTTCATTCTTAAAATTTAAATAAACGCAAGTATTTCAAATTTTGTATGCACAACACGAAATTATTGTGAATAATACAAAGTGAATGAACTGCAAAATGCAGTTATTGATTGATGGATAAACGGAATAAACGGCGTTACAGCGCCCAAAATTGTTTTCATGTTGCTATGCTGCAACAATAAATGAATACATTTATAGTCGTCTCACGTAATATACAAAATCACAACAAAACTTTGCTTCAAAACAAGAATGCAGGACAAATGTTATATTTTGCGTTAGTTTTACCTGCATTCATAGTTGACTCAACACTAAACGTGATAAACTGAACCAAAAACTTTGCCAGGTACATAGTAGTTCTCGGAAACTTCTTAGCTAGTGGCTTTTGTTTGTATAACAACGAAAATTCCGAGTATGTACTTTTATCGGTATGACAGGAGTGGGCTACGTCAACATCCATTAATGTAGAGATTACCTGCGCACAGGTAGGAATCGCAAGAGTGCAAGTGCGGTTCTGATTGACGCTCTTTCGCACGCTGGGTGCTGCGCAATCATGGCCACGGCGATTACCTGAGTATAAAAGCCTTCTAGAAGCGGAGCGGCGTTTACTTTCACTTGTTCTTGCATTGCGCTGCTAGGTGTGCGCTCCTTCTCTTCGTCGAAGTCCTAGGCGGTCGAAGTGGCAGCAGCGGCGTACTTTCGCTCAGAAATCAGTCCGTACACGACCATCGAGAACTACAGATCAAGACTCAAAGTGCAAAAAGATAACCGAACTAAAAACTCAAATAATGAATTCAATTCTTCAGGTAAGAAATTTGAAAACCACTCATGAGATAATATATTATAACATAACTTTATGGTAAATTTTGTTTGCTGCTCTGGAATGTACTTCTGAAGTACGCTGGAATATTTTAGGACATTCCGTAACGTACTGAAAGATCCACTTGGACATTCTTGACATTTGCGGTTTACATTTAACTCTGTCTCGGAATGCAATTAAATTGCGTGGTTTGATACGGCAATAACTCATCTGTTTTTGTAGATTTGCCTGGTGGTGAGTGTGGGGGTGATGCTATGTGCATGGGAGACGACCGGAAGGCCACAGGGAAGTACACAGCGACCGGAAGTGACCGAGGATGCGCTCAACAAGGCACTCAGCGATCGGCGCTACCTGATGCGACAATTGAAATGTGCCCTCGGGGAAGCGGCCTGCGACCCTGTCGGTAGGCGCCTCAAGAGTAAGTCTCTCGATATTTATTTTAAACCGTAAATTCAATTCGAACGCCGGAAGACAATCGTGATTTTACGTTCGTGCTTCGATATTTTAAATGTTTTAATTTCACTTTCGACTGACCGGTATTTCTCTTGTACAAAAAAAACCCGTAGAAAGTTGTTACGTGCGGTATGATTAATACGAGTTACAAAAATTGTTTTAACAGTTTTATACGAGTTAATACGACTTTAATTATATTTGTACTCACCTTGCTTTGAGCAATTACATTACATTTAATCACAATGAAATGTTTTCATGTTTCACGGTTAAATCAAATAAAGATTAAATTTGCCAATTATAACTAATTTTTTTATTATTTACAGGTTTGGCACCGTTAGTATTGCGAGGTTCGTGTCCTCAATGTTCACCACAAGAAATGCGACAGATTCAAAAGGTGCTCGCCCACGTTCAGCGCAACTTCCCCAAGGAATGGAACAAAGTGATTAATCAGTACGCCGGATAATCTCGTATCGCAAGATGGGACCCGACACGGGATCAACCAATCTCACCAAAAATACATAGAATCTACAAATCAACATAATACATAATTAATTCGTGTTCGAAACCGTTACCTGGTAGCCTTTATTATCAAATGTGCGTTGTTTACATTAGAAACTCGCATAAATTTCAAACAATTCGCATTGATTCGTCAATGCCGCGGCGTCACAATCACAATTTTTCTTTCCAACGTTTGATTACATGATTTCGCCGAATACATATTAAACAAATGTAATAAACATACGCAGTGTTAAAATTCGAGTATGAGGTCATCGATTGTTTAACGTTAGCGAGAATTATCGCGCACGGCAATTATCGGTGATTAAATTTATTAATGACATCTAGTATGTAAAGCTAATTAAAAGTTGGTGGTTGAATGTACGCGGCGTCGCAAAATCGTGCTATGTCGTTACGCAATTATAATTACACGATATCCATCGGGCGTGATTTTAGGCTCGCGTGTGTAATGTAAACGACAACCAGCGAAAATCACAGAGCGTTTGGATTATTCATTGTTCTATTGAGTATGAAAATCATGTGTGAAACGTAAGGAATATTTGATTTTTTGTATTGTACATAAAACGATATAAACCTTGTGTTTGTGTTTGTTATATTTACTTGTTGTTATCTCCGACAAATTAGACAACCATTAAAGATTTTAGAAGTGTATTTGTAAGTTTTATTTTGGAAGCCAATGATTTTATCTTACAGATGCTGGTTCATAATTCTACAACGAAATTGAAAATAAATGCTTAGGTACAAAGTCGATTGTCGCTGTGCAAAGATAAGAAAATGATTATATAAGGAAGAGAAATGAACACGCTGTGTTGCTTATCAGTTTCTTAATTCTCAAATAATATAATATCAATTCGTTAAATTGAATATTCAGCACCGACATAATCGCCATCAAAACACAAAACACGGAACCATAATATTTAATGTTTATAACAGCGTGTTTATTCATTGGATCAATAATGAGTGGTAAAAAACTGCAGGGTAGATGTGTCATTTTCGATTCATTCGCTTGTAAAGTCAATAGATCCTATTATATCTAATTAAACTATAACTCAACCATTCATTCATTTTTTTGCTGAGGAAGTTTATACACCAGAATGTAAACACAGGAAAAACAGAGCAAAATAATTGAAAGTGCACTTTGAAGTTGTAGAGAATTCAACGTTTTTTTACTGGTCGAGTTTGATTTCGTTCTGTTAGTTAATCCAGGCAAACATGAAAAGGCTTCTACAAAACATCTCCAATCTCTTGCACGCGTACAAACACCTTAATGCTTGTATAAAGTACCTCAATCGAAAGCAATAATCAAATCATTTCAAACATCTAGAAATATAAACCTTAACTAAAATAACACTAAATAATCTTATTAAACTTATGAATTGACTGTATCCAGACACAATTTCTCTCTTCTTCTTTTTCTAGGTGCTGATTGGCAAGAACCGTGTGTGTTTACAAAATGCAAATTCTTGACTATAGCTTTGACGTGTCTAAAGACATTTTAAAAATTAAATTATAATCAGACATATTTGGGGTGTACCAATCAAATTGCTGATTGCAATCAGCAGTTGCAATTACTTGATGCTCACAGATGATGTTCATTCACACCGTTGTCATGGCAACAGCAAATATCTGGCAGTACAGTAGCTATATCTTGACATAATGCAAACTACGCAAAATATGGCAGACGGTAATTGTACCACCACTAAAAAGTAATTTCAATTCATGACCCAAAATTATTATTGAATGACCAGAAAATAACACACTTAAAATGTATACAATACTAAATTTTAGTAATCTCCAAATTCCGAAGTTAAACCCAGAAGTATAACAATTTTTTCTATATAAAGCAACTCTTGTAGAACTTTGCAAGAAGTACGTTCCGGTGCAATGCGCGCGTGCAGAAAACTCAAACGCAAAGTCGCGAGCCGCGAATGCACAAAAACTGCTTCTTTTCGCAAGTTTGCAAACTTTGTTTACCTATTCCGGCGGCGACAACCCGCCAGAATTTGCTCCTGTTCTGTGCGCTCGCGCGTTTTTGTTCGCTTTCAGTTTTTGGCATTTAGCCCTCCGCGCGTTTTTATTAAAATGTAAAACTTGCACGAAGCCGGCGGCACAAGTTGTTAATTCCCTCACCGAATAAACGGACTCCTGCAAGTTGTGCAGGACCTACAAGGCGTGTTTCAAGCGACGAACGCTGTACGCAATTTTATGAAACTAATTAAATTTTATAATTACTCTGATTAAATTATGAGAGGATGAAAGGATGAAATAGTTGGACCGCAAAGTTTTTAAACTATCACCAGCTCAACGCCGATAATGTACCAACTGCAGCACTGAATTTAAACGGGAATAAGAAGCGAAATTTCCAAAATTACGAAAAGTTTTACATAAAGCAATTCTTAAAGTTTCGAGAGTTTGTGAATGAAGTCTGTCAATCGAAACGTCGATGTCCATGAGTGTCAGCTGGACATAATGAACAAAAACAGTCGTACAAAACCGCACGCAAAGTCCGGGTCGGACTGCCAAATTCGTGGCCATCGCGGAAGGACATTCGTGCCAAAGTCGCAGATGCGGTTGATGGCCAAAAAGCCCCGCACGACGATAACGACCGTCGGCACGCGGACGCGCTGACAAATTCCTAAATGGACCGCTCGCCGCAAAAAGACCCTTTCGGGAAAAGGTCCGGGCATATCATTATCCCGCGTATCTGCGCATCATCGACTTGACTCCGGCGTCCATTGGGAGCAATAAAATCCTGTCTGTTATTGATATTTTTCCGTATGGCGTAGCCTGGGATTTTTTCCATAAAAAGTTATAAAAATATTGCACGTTTCAGGCGAACCTACTTCCGGAACTAAAAAGTTAGATTAAAACCAGGCAATACTTTTTTACTGCTGAAAGTTTCCATCAAAATATAATTGATTATAAATAATTAAAACTAAAGGTAACATTACTACCATCAACATATGTGCACAATTTAAATAGAATTTACTAACTTTTGTATTTTTGTTACTAACAAAACAAATTAATTTCACAATAGTTTATGTTTATGAAGGTTATTTTAGCCTCTCCAACCTCAGTGCACATTCCTGCCGGGAAACTATAACTTATTCTCTCAAAGCAATTATTCGACGCATGCTGCTGATGCATGCGATTTGTTCAACTGTTGGACGTTTCGACTCGCTAGCTTTATACAGGAAACTTTGGACGCGTTGGGGCTCGAGATGCACGCTCAGTTTTGGGGGCGCCGTAAATCTCAATTGTGCAGTGGCTCAACCACGATAAGCAGCTCGAACATTCGCGGCACATGTACATCGGTGCGAGAAGCCAGAAGTCGATGGTTAAGTTCCGAAAATTATGAGTTAATTCCCAGCACCAGCCAGGCAAAGGCCTGCAATTGCCTAGCCAGCGAAGCTCATGAAATTATTTTACATATTAATGTTAAATAAATACCAAGGAAATTAAAGCAATCTCCCATGTGAAGTGATGAGATTAGATGAAAGTAATACCGTAAAATGTAGAAGTTGCAGAAAGGAATTTTAAGATTAAAGCTTTTTTCTTATTTATTTTGTGGCGTGACAGACAGGAGAGGTATTTATGGCATTATCCTGAAAGCCTTTTCATTTTCTACCTTTGGCGAGGAGCTGTGCACTTTTTATTTATATTTATTGCGTGTTACTTTTCAAGCTTTGCCCATTTGCTAAAGAAATTAATTTAAAATTCATTTTTGTCTTGATTACATTAAATTAAACAGAATAAAACAGTTTTAAAGGAATGTTTGTTAAAGCAAGAATTTTCAAAATTGAAAATAAATTATTGTTTAAATTTTAAGTGTTTTGTGCTTAATAACCAACAAACCACAAAAAAATGTTTAGTAAATTTACTTCCCATTCAATTACCGCCCCATTAGTCTGCCTAGAATGTCCACACAATTAATACAAAGGTGATGGGAGTTAGACAGATGTGAAAGTTTCCTATTCTCTAGCTGTCCGCCCCGGTGAAAACGATGCTATGACAAAACGACAAATTGCGCGAACGACTCGCCCGACGCGGGCGCGCTATTGTTCGCCGGAGTGGAAAGATGTGTTTTTAGTATAAGAATGCGCATCGTTTCGTTCCAGGACGTAGACGAGCGAGCGTAAAAAGATAGCATATAGTATGCGCGCTCGTCCTCTCTTTCATTTCCGCGATGGTTTGATGTTTATTTATCGTTCGCGCGCCTCGAACGCAAAAACCACCAACCGCGGCGTTCGCAGATTCTCAACTATGGAACCGGAGATTTTCTTCACACCGCAGAAACAGGAACACACATAGCATGCTGGGAGCGATCTCGGCTGTAAAGAGCACTACCAGAAGCGATTTTGTATTTGTACAATTCTTCATTTCCCTTCCTGTTTTGCATCCTGAATCATAAACCCGCGCGAGTCTTCATTATCGTTGTGAAAGATTCAAAATTATGTAATTTGGATGCTTGAATTTATAATGTTTGCTCCAGTTACATCATAGCGAACAAAGAATAAAAAAAATACTTTGTTAAGTCTTGAGGGCGTCGACCTAACCGCAGACTGCGAACGCGAAAACGAAAGAAAATGGAAAGGAAGAAGGAAAGACGCGTCGACGAGACAGACAGTTACCGATTGCCCAATAGTTAAATCGAAGAATCGATATAAATCACACAGTTTTTTTCTTTGTACGTATTGGTCGACAACCGATGCGAAGGGATTGCCTCACGGTCAAAAGGTTCCTTAAATTCAACCGAATTAAGAAAGACAGAAGACGAATAAATGTGAATCAGTGTTACACGAATTGTAATAAAAATCTGTGCGCGTTTTACTTGGAAGATTTTATGCATTCTGTAAGTAACTAACAAAATATTTTCTCTGAAACTAGAAAATGCCAGAAATTCTTCAATGTCATGCGAGTGTGCTCTTCACATTTTACATGCATTATCATAGAGATGCACCCGCCCCGGCGCCTCCACATTACCTTACTTCTGTCGACGACGTTGTCGTCTCGTTTCATGTAACTCACGACTCCGTTGATATTTTCCGGTGAGCAGGCATGATGCGCACTGAAGAAATGTTCCTCCCAGTTCACCGGAAAGCAGCCCTACGATGATACGCCGCATTATGCGCACAAGACATAATTTTCCCAGCGCGCGATTCAATTTATGCTCGCCGCTACCTTGCGTTTATCCATTACGCCAGTCTTCCGTCTTGCATTTCCTCCTCAGAGTAACATGCAAAACGTTTTGATATACACATACACACACATGTGTTGTATATACCTACACCGCATGTGTCTTTAGTCACATGAGTAATACTCTACTATAAATTTATTTTGCAGCAAAAAAAAATTCGTAGCATGTAGCAGTTCCTCTTATCTGTAAACTTAAAGTGCAATGTTAAAATTTACTAGCAACTTAGCTTTAACTATGTTTTGATGCAAGCTTATCCAAGGTGGATCTCGTTTCTGATCTTGATGCAAGACGTCAAATTAGCCGGCGATGCTGCAACAACTTCTTGTGCGCGTCTGTGTGTATTCGTGTAATTCGCACGTTCCGCTGCCGAAACTTTGCAAATTTAAATTTAATTTATCAGTTGTCGACCGGCGGAGCAAGTTGCCGAACGTCGCTCGAACGCAGCCGAAATTAA